GCATGCCTGGAGTTGTGGCAAGGGTCCGGGAGCATTCCTCATTTTGAACCCCTGGAGAGGAGAGGATCCGATCTATGGGAAAACCAGCTGGTCAACGGGATCCAGCCACCTACATACACCCCAGCCCCGGGAGGGATCCAGATATCCTGGCCACCGCATTTGACGGGACTGAAAGCGCGATATAAGGGGATTCCTACTTCCAACGGGATTTTGTATTTCTCCACATCAAACCGGAGCCCCGGGAGCGGGAGAGGTATCCGGTCCCCCGTTTCTCCTTTTTTGGGTGGAGCCCTGGAGTGGGCAACGCGTAATGGAACGGGGGAGGTCCATGTTGGAGAACTACGGGGAGTTTTCTCACCTCTTCTTCAGGCCGTTTTTGATCACCCCCCTAGGGTCGAGAGGCGTGCAACGACTGGTTCATCAAAGGCCCGGGGACGATGACCGCTCAAGGAATACGCGCTGGAGTTCCGGACGCTGGCAGCGTGGTCCGGGTGGAATGAGCGGGCCCTGATAGACCATTTCCGGTGCCACCTAAGGGAGGACGTCCGACGGGAGCTAGCCTGCCGGGATGCCATGCTATCGTTCTCCCAACTGGTGGACATGGCCATCCGGCTGGACAATCTGCTCGCAGCCAGAGGATGTCCTGGTAGGGGTCTGCCCGTTCCCACTCTGGATGACTCTGACCCCGAGCAGATGGAGCTGGGGGGAGCCGCCGGTCCCAACGCTCGGGCACACCACCCAAGCTCCGCCCCTGTGCCTTCTTTTCTAAGAAGCTCAACTCGGCGGAGCAGAACTACAGCGTTGGTGATTGGGAGCTGCTGGCTGTTGTCCGAGCTTTGACGGTGTGGAGACATTGGCTCGAAGGGGAGAAACACCCTTTCCTCGTCTGGACAGACCACCGTAACCTTGAGTACATTCGGGCAGCGAGGAGGCTGAATCCTCGCCAGGCCAGGTGGGCCCTCTTCTTCACCCGGTTTGATTTCACACTCTCATACATTCCGGGTACGAAGAACGTGAAGGCAGATGCACTGTCTCGGCTGTATGACACAGAGGAGAGGCCCAGAGACAACACCCCCATACTCCCGGCCTCATGCATGGTGGAGCCGGTAGTATGGGCGATGGACGCAGATATAGCGCAGGCATTACGCACAGATCCATCTCCACCGCAGTGTCCAGCTGGGCTGCAGTACGTGCCTGCGCTTATCCGTTATCGTCTGATCTACTGGGCACACACGTCACCCTCCCCTGGTCATCCAGATATCGGTCGTACAATGCGCTACCTGACCGAGAAGTACTGGTGGCATACCTTGGCTAAGGACGTGAGGGTGTATGTTTCCTCATGCTCAGTGTGCGCCCAGAGTAAGGCACCTAGGCACCTCCCAGCGGGTAAGCTACAACCTTTACCAGATCCACAACGACCATGGTCTTACCTGAGTATTGATTTTCCCCCTCCCAAGGTAACACCACTTTCCTGGTTGTTGTGGACCGCTTTTCAAAGTCCTGCCGCCTCCTTCCTCTGCCCGGTCTCCCCACGGCCCTACAAACTGTGGAGGCTCTGTTTAACTCACGTCTTCCGGCACTACGGGGTACCAGATGATATAGTGTCCGACCGAGGTCCCCAGTTCACGTCTAGAGTCTGGAAGGCGTTCATGGAAGCCTGACCTCTGGTTTTCACCCCGAGAGCAATGGGCAGGTGGAAAGGGTGAATCAAGATGTGGGTAGGTTCCTGCGGACCTACTGTCAGGACCGGCCGGGGGAGTGGTCGGTGTTCCTGCCATGGGCAGAATATGCTCAGAACTCTCTCCGCCACTCCTCCACTAACCTAACACCCTTCCAATGTGTTTTGGGTTACCAACCGGTCCTGGCACCGTGGCACCAGAGCCAGACCGAGGCTCCCACGGTGGATGACTTGTTTCGGCGCGCGGAGGAGACTTGGGACGCTGCCTACGACGTGCGTCGTCAGAAGGCCAACGCTGACCGCCACCGCAGGGAGGTCCAGGGGATCGGGTCTGGCTCTCGACCCGGAATCTGCCCCTCCGCCATTTCACTGTGTATTTGCCAAGGTGGATGTTTTCCCTTGTACAGTTTCGTTTGACGCTTGGGGCTTTTGATTTATGCAAACAGATTAAACTCTGGACTTCTGTATTTTACCTCCTGCGCCTGCCTCCTTCTTTCACACCTCGTCACAATGTCACAAATCTTGCTGCTGTGATGGCACACTGTGGTATTTCACCCAATAGATATGGGAGTTTATCAAAATTGGATTTGTTTTCAAATTCTTTGTGGGTCTGTGTAATCTGAGGGAAATATGTGTCTCTAATATGGTCATACATTTGGCAGGAGGTTAGGAAGTGCAGCTCAGTTTCCACCTCATTTTGTGGGCAGTGTGCACTTAGCCTGTCTTCTCTTGAAAGCCAGGTCTGCCTTCGGCGGCCTTTCTCAATAGCAAGGCTATGCTCACTGAGTCTGTACATAGTCAAATAATTCCTTAATGTTGGGTCAGTCACAGTGGTCAGGTATTCTGCCACTGTGTACTCTCTGTTTAGGGCATTCTAGTTTGCTCTGTTTTTTTGTAAATTATTTTCAATGTGTCAAGTAATTATCTTTTTGTTTTCTCATGATTTGGTTGGGTCTAATTGTGTTGCTGTCCTGGGGCTCTGTGGGGTCTGTTTGTGTTTGTGAACAGAGCCCCAGAACCACCTCTGTAGGTGATGGCTTTGTTATGGAAGGTTTGGGAATCGCTTCCTTTTAGGTGGTTGTAGAATTTAACGGCTCTTTTCTGGATTTTGAAAATTATCGGGTATCGGCCTAATTCTGCTCTGCATGCATTATTTGGTGTTTTACGTTGTACACTGAGGATATTTTTTGCAGAATTCTGCATGCAGAGTCTCAATTTGGTGTTTGTCCCATTTTGTGAATTCTTGGTTGGTGAGCGGACCCCAGACCTCACAACCGTAAAGGGCAATGGGTTCTATAACTGATTCAAGTATTTTTAGCCAGATCCTAATTGGTATGCCAAATTTTATGTTCCTTTTGATGGCATAGAAGGCCCTTCATGCCTTGTCTCTCAGATCGTTCACAGCTTTGTGGAAGTTACCTGTGGCGCTGATGTTTAGGCAGAGGTATGTACAGTGCCTTGCGAAAGTATTCACCCCCTTGGCATTTTTCCTATTTTGTTGCCTTACAACCTGATTTTGGGGGGATTTGTATCATTTGATTTACACAACATGCCTACCCCTTTGAATATATATTTTTTATTGTGAAACAAACAAGAAATAAGACCAAAAAAAACAGAAAACTAGAGCGCATAACTATTCAACCCCCCAAAGTCAATACTTTGTAGAGCCACCTTTTGCAGCAATTACAGCTGCAAGTCTCTTGGGGTATGTCTCTAAGATTTTTCAAGGCAAAACTGCTCCAGCTCCTTCAAGTTGGATGGGTTCCGCTGGTGTACAGCAATCTTTAAGTCATACCACAGATTCTCAATTGGATTGAGGTCTGGGCTTTGACTAAGCCATTCCAAGACATTTAAATGTTTCCCCTTAAACCACTCGAGTGTTGCTTTAGCAGTATGCTTTGGGTCATTGTCCTGCTGGAAGGTGAACCTCTGTCCCAGTCTCAAATCTCTGAAAGACTGAAACAGGTTTCCCTCAAGAATTTGCCTGTATTTAGCGCCATCCATCATTCCTTCAATTCTGACCAGTTTCCCAGTCCCTGCCGATGAAAAACATCCCCACAGCATGATGCTGCCACCACCATGCTTCACTGTGGGGATGGTGTTCTCGGGGTGATGAGAGGTTTGCGCCAGACATAGCGTTTTCCTTGATGGCCAAAAGCTCAATTTTAGTCTCATCTGACCAGAGTACCTTCTTCCATATGTTTGGGGAGTCTCCCACATTCCTTTTGGTGAACACCAAACGTGTTTGCTTATTTTGTTCTTTAAGCAATGGCTTTTTTCTGGCCACTCTTCCCTAAAGCCCAGCTCTGTGGAGTGTACGGCATAAAGTGGTCCTATGGACAGATACTCCAATCTCTGCTGTGGAGCTTTGCAGCTCCTTCAGGGTTATCTTTGGTCTCTTTGTTGCCTCTCTGATTAATGCCCTCCTTGCCTGGTCCGTGAGTTTTGGTGGGTGGCCCTCTCTTGGCAGGTTTGTTGTGGGGCCATATTCTTTCCATTTTTTAATAATGGATTTAATGGTGCTACGTGGGATGTTCAAAGTTTCTGATATTTTTTTATGACCGAACCCTGATCTGTACTTCTCCACAGCTTTGTCCCTGACCTGTTTGGAGAGCTCCTTGGTCTTCATGGCGCCGCTTGCTTGGTTGGTGCCTCTTGCTTAGTGGTGTTGCAGACTCTGGGGCCTTTCAGAACAGGTGTATATATACTGAGATCATGTGACAGATCATGTGGCACTTAGATTGCACACAGGTGGACTTTATTTAACTAATTATGTGACTTCTGAAGGTAATTGGTTGCACCAGATCTTATTTAGGGGCTTCATAGCAAAGGGGGTGAATACATATGCACGCACCACTTTTCCGTTATTATTTTTTTTTTTTTTACATTTAATCCAAATAAAAATCAATTTAAATTACAGGTTGTAATGCAACAAAATAGGAAAAACGCCAAGGGGGATGAATACTTTTGCAAGGCACTGTATATTTTTTTGTGTGCTCTAGGGCAACGGTGTCTAGATGGAATTTGTATTCGTGGTCCTGGCAACTGGACCTTTTTTGGAACACTATTATTTTTGTCTTACTGAGATTTACTGTCAGGACCCAGGTCTGACAGAATCTGTGCAGAAGATCTAGGGGCTGCTGTAGGCCCTACTTGGTTGGGAAAAGAAGCACCAGATCATCAGCAAAAAGTAGACATTTGACTTCAGATTCTAGTAGGGTGAGGCCGGGTGCTGCAGACTGTTCTAGTGCCCTCGCCAATTCGTTGATATATATGTTCTTTCTCTCTCTCGCTCTCTCTCTCTCTCTCTCCCTCTCTCTTACTCACTCTCTCTACAGAGATTCTGGAGGGAGGCGTCCAGATCGTCCACAACAGGTTCCTGAGATATGGTCCCTGGGTGAACTGGGATGATATTGTGAGGGACAGGGATAGGGCCAAGGCTCCCATTGACATCCAGTTGAACGGCGAGAGAGGTCAGTGTCTGTCCGTTAGAATAGGACAAGTTGTTAGAGCCTGATCTGATGTATTTGAAATATTCAAAAAGAGATCAGGATTCCGGTTGAGATTCCGAACTCTAGCTAGAGCATGAACTTTGACCTCTTTGACCGCTGTTCCTGGGTGAGCCATTGGCTGCTATATCTGACTGATAATGATGTTCCATGTCTGTAGGGCCTTGTCACCCCTCCTGTGGGGAGAACTGCTGGGGGCCTGGTGAAGAACACTGCCAGATCTGTAAGTTGATTTCTGCCTCTAAATGTCTCTGGATGGTCGTTCTCAAATCTCTCTTTCGGTCACTTATTCTATCTCTCTCTCTTCTCTATCAATCCCTTACTCTATTTCCAGCTCGCTCACTCACACTCTCTACTTTCTTCCCACCTCTCTCTCTTTGTGGTTTGTGACATGTTGTTGGCCATAAACATCCCCTCACTAATCCTCCTCTGTCCCCCTCAGTGACTAAGACAGTGTGCGCTCCTCAGTGTAACGGCCGTTGTTTCGGGACCAGCCCCAGGGACTGCTGTCACATAGAGTGTGCAGGGGGCTGCTATGGACCTCAGGATATGGATTGCTTTGTGAGTGATGAGTACTGCCTCTCTATCTCTGTTTCTCACTATCTCTCTCTCTCTCTCTCTCTCTCTCTCTCTCTCCAGGAAACCTGCTCATTAGCTAATGAATAGTAATTGAACAGCTAGTTGTAGCTATTTTGAGTATATTTGAGTAAACAGCCTTAGGTGATGGAGAATTCCTTTTAAGCCTAAAAAGATTGATACAGTAAAGCAGTTTGTGATTCATTCCTGTATATGTGTTTGTGTGTGTGCGCACGCATGTGTATGTGCATGTGTGTTTGTGTGTGCGTGTGTTTCTACCTCCCTACTCTCAGGCGTGCGGTCACTTCAACGACTCCGGGTCCTGTGTGCCCCAGTGTCCCCAGACTCTGATCTACAACAAACAGACGTTTCAGATGGAGACGAACCCTAATGCCAAGTATCAGTACGGATCCATCTGTGTCTCCCACTGCCCCAGTGAGTACCCTCCCTGTGTGTGTGTGTGTACAGTGGCTTGCGAAAGTATTCACTCCCCTTGGCATTTTTCCTATTTTGTTGCCTTACAACCTGGAATTAAAATTGATTTTTTGGGGGTTTGTATCATTTGATTTACACAACAAGCATACTACTTTGAAGATGCTAAAATATTTTTTCTTGTGAAACAAACAAGAAATAAGAAAAAAAAACAGAACTTGAGCGCGCATAACTATTCACCCCCCCAAAGTCAATACTTTGTAGAGCCATCTTTTGCAGCAATTACAGCTGCAAGTCTCTTGGGGTATGTCTCTATAAGCTTGGAACATCTAGCCACTGGAATCTTTGCCCATTCTTCAAGACAAAACTGCTCCAGCTCCTTCAAGTTGGATGGGTTCCGCTGGTGTACAGCAATCTTTAAGTCATACCACAGATTCTCAATTGGATTGAGGTCTGGGCTTTGACTAGGCCATTCCAAGACATTTTAAATGTTTTCCCTTAAACCACTCAAGTGTTGCTTTAGCAGTATGCTTAGGGTCATTGTCCTGATGGAAGGTGAACCTCCGTCCCAGTCTCAAATCTCTGGAAGACTGAAACAGGTTTCCCTCAAGAATTTCCCTGTATTTAGCGCTATCCATCATTCCTTCAATTCTGACCAGTTTCCCAGTCCCTGCCGATGAAAAACATCCCCACAGCATGATGCTGCCACCACCATGCTTCACTGTGGGGATGGTGTTCTCAGGGTGATGAGAGGTGTTGGGTTTGCGCCAGACATAGTGTTTTCCTTGATAGCCAAAAAGCTCAATTTTAGTCTCATCTGACCAGAGTACCTTCTTCCATATGTTTGGGGAGTCTCCCACATGCCTTTTGGTGAACACCAAATGTGTTTGCTTATTTTGTTCTTTAAGCAATGGCTTTTTTCTGGCCACTCTTCCCTAAAGCCCAGCTCTGTGGAGTGTACGGCTTAAAGTGGTCCTATTGTCCATAGGACCACTTTAAGCCGTACACTCCACAGAGCTGGGCTTTAGGGAAGAGTGGCCAGAAAAAAGCCATTGCTTAAAGAACAAAATAAGCAAACACATTTGGTGAAGCATGGTGGTGGCAGCATCATGCTGTGGGGATGTTTTTCATGATACTCCAATCTCTGCTGTGGAGCTTTGCAGCTCCTTCAGGGTTATCTTTGGTCTCTTTGTTGCCTCTCTGATTAATGCCCTCCTTGCCTGATCTGTGAGTTTTGGTGGGCGGCCCTCTCTTGGCAGGTTTGTTGTGGGGCCATATTCTTTCCATTTTTTAATAATTGATTTAATGGTGTTCCGTGGGATGTTCAAAGTTTCTAATAAAAAAATTATAACCCAACCCTGATCTGTACTTCTCCACAACTTTGTCCCTGACCTGTTTGGAGAGCTCCTCTGTCTTCATGGTGCCGCTTGCTTGGTGGTGCCCCTTGCTTAGTGGTGTTGCAGACTCTGGGGCCTTTCAGAACAGGTGTATATATACTGAGATCATGTGACAGATCATGTGACACTTAGATTGCACACAGGTGGACTTTATTTACCTAATTATGTGACTTCTGAAGGTAATTGGTTGCACCAGATCTTATTTAGGGGCTTCATAGCAAAGGGGGTGAATACATATGCACGCACCACTTTTCTGTTATTTATTTTTTAGAATTTCTTGAAACAAGTTATTTTTTTCACCAATTTGGACTATTTTGTGTATGTCCATTACATTTAATCCAAATAAAAATCAATTTAAATGTCAGGTTGTAATGCAACAAAATAGGAAAAATGCGAAGGGGGATGAATACTTTTGCAAGGCACTGTATAGTTTTTTGTGTGCTCTAGGACAACGGTGTCTAGATGGAATTTGTATTCGTGGTCCTGGCAACTGGACCTTTTTTGGAACACCATATACTTTTGCAAGGCACTGTATTCCATTGATATTATAATATTCTTCCTTTTGATTTCTGTATCTCTTATCTCCCTTCCTACTTCCCCCTTCTCTCTCTCTCCCCTTCTCCCCGCCGCTCTCCTCTCTCTCCCATCTCTCCCACCTCTCCCCCGTCTCTTCCCTCTCTCCCCCTTCCTCCTCTCTCCTCCCCAACCTCTCTCCTCTCTCCTCGTGCTCCTCCCCTTCTCTCCCTCTCCCTCTCCTCTCTCCCACCGTCTCTCCCTCTCTCCTCCCCCTCCTTCCTCAATCTCGCCCCCCTCTCTCCTCCTCTTTCCTCCGCTCTCCTCTCTCGTCTCCCCTTCTCTCCGTCTCCCCTTCATCCCCCTCTCTCTCCCCCCCCTTCCTCCTCTCTCTTCCCCCTCTCTCCTCTCTCTCTCCACCCTCTCTCCTCTCTCCTCTCTCCCCCTTCTCCCCCCTCTCTCTCTCCCCCTTCTCCCCCTCTCTCCTCTCCCTCTCTCCCCTCCTCTCTCCCATCTCTCTCCCCCTTTCTCCTCTCTCTCTCTCTCCCCCCTTCTCCCCTCTCTCTCTCCCCCCTCTCTCTCTCTCCCCCCTTCTCCTCCTCTCTCTCTCCACCCCTTCCTCTCTCTTCTCTCCCCCCTTCTCTCCTCTCTCTCTCCCATCTCTCTCCTACCTCTCTCCCACCTCTCTCCTCTCTCTCTCTCCCCCCTCTCTCCTCTCTCTCTCCCCTCTCTCCTCTCTCTCCTCTCTCTCTCCCCCTTCTCCCCTCTCTCTCTCCCCCCCTTCTCTCTCTCCCCCCTTCTCTCTCTCCCCTTTCTCTCTCTCTCTCTCCCCCTTCTCATCCTCTCGTCTCCTCCCCCTTCTCTCTCCTCCTCCCTCTCTCCTCTCTCTCTCCCCTCTCTCTCTCCCCCATGCAGCCCACTTTGTGGTGGATGGCAGCTCCTGTGTGAGCGGCTGTCCTCCAGACAAGAAGGAGGTGGAGAGGAGTGGTCAGAGGCAGTGTGAGCTTTGTGGAGGACTGTGCCCTAAAGGTAAATCCACCAGTCAATTACACACACCATGACTCCATTCACTTTCAATGGCTATTGACATACTGCTGCTAGATTATGCTGGTAGTTTGTGCAAGGATTGCATGTGGTTATTTCTATTGTTTATGGTATATTGATACAATACAGAATGCTCAATGAAACACGTATGCACTGCGGGTCTTTGGGGTTATGGTATTGAAGCATGGGTTAATTACGAAGATCCATGATAACAGTTTGCCCATGACTAAAGAGGAGAATATCTCTCCCTGTTTCATAATCTAGCCTGTGAGGGCACAGGTCCTGAGCACAGACAGACGGTGGACTCCAGTAACATCGACAGCTTCATCAACTGCACCAAGATACAAGGCAGCCTGCACTTCCTGGTCACAGGGATTCTTGGGTAAGTGAGTTTATTAAACACAGACCATTGGAGTTACACTGATTGTTTCATTGGTCCTCATCATTAGTATATGTGTGTACTGTGTATAAAGTAGAACTGCTCTGTGTTTTTCAGTGATGACTATAAGAAAATCCCACCTCTGGACCCTAAGAAGCTGGAGGTCTTCCGCTCTGTCCAGGAGATAACAGGTAGGTGTATGTGTGTGTTTGTGCGTGCATGTGTGTGTTATCTAGGTGCATATATTTGCATACATATAAACTAAGGTTGCTTGACCATTGTATGTGTCTTTGCTGTACAGATATCCTAGACATCCAGTCGTGGCCTAAAGAACTGTCAGATCTTTCAGTGTTCTCCAATCTTACCACCATACAGGGAAGATCTCTTCACAAGTAAGGCTGTGTGTGTGTGTGTGTGTTTGTGTGCTTGCATGCGTGTTTGCGTGCATGCTTATGTATGCGTGTGCACGTGTGATTGTATGTGTGTGTCAGAGGAGACTGGTGGGAGGAGCTATAGGAGGACGGGCTCATTGTAATGGCTGGAATGGTATCAAACACATAAAACATATGGAAACCACGTTTGACTCCGTTCCATTGATTCCATTCCAGCCATTACAATGAGCCCTTCCTCCTATAGCTCCTCCCACCATTCTCCACTGGTGTGTGTGTGTGTGAGAAAGTCCATATTTCTATATAACTCAAACCTCATGATGTTTTGACATATAACCCGATCATATCATTTGATCCACACATGTCATTTAATTCTCTCCTCTGTTTGCTTTAATAATACCAGAAGCTGCTTTTTGTGTCAACAGCCCCCTGTCATGCATGTCACTGGTGTATGTAATCCCTCTATCTCTCTCTTTGTGTCTCACCCTCCTGTCCCCTCTGCTCCCGATGTCCCTCTCCAGCGCAAAGAGGTATGGCCTGCGCTGTGTACCTTTTTAAACCAAAGCATAGCCTTAAGGCTGTCTAATACAGATAGTTTGTGACTGTGATGCTGTGATATCTTAATATACTAGCTATTGCCAGTTTGTTTCTACAAATAAAGTAATATTTCATTGAATTGTTGTTTCCTTTTGCGGTTTAGGATGCTCTTCAAAAGTGTTAATTTGATGATATTAGAGATCGTTTTACTTATTTTACCATTACCAATCTCAAACGTTTATTTTCTCCTCTCCTCCAGGCGTTTCTCTCTGATGATCATGCGTGTTCCATCCATCACCTCTCTGGGTCTGCGTTCCCTGAGAGAGATCAGTGACGGCAACGTGTATCTCACCCATAACGCCAACCTGTGTTACCACCACACAGTCAACTGGACACGCCTGTTCACCGGGCACGCCACACACCTCAACGACATCAAAGACAACAGGCCTCTGAGAGAGTGTGGTGAGGCTGGGCTTCAAAATGGCATGAGAGAGGCATCTCAGCTACTGGCTGTTTTAATCTTGCAGGGCCGTATGCTGACCTGAGATCTGCACGCTGAATTCCAATTTTCCGATGACGTCAATTATGATTGAAGTGAAAGTCAGAGTTGCACATACTCTGAATAAGGCCTGCAGTTAGCATACAACATGAGAAACTGCTGTTTAGCAGTTAATTTAACCATAATCTGACAATAATCATTTTACGGTCTGTCCTGTGTTAGCAGTTCTGTGACGTTCATGTGTTGATGTATGTTGTTTACAGTTGAGGAGGGCCACGTGTGTGACCCGCTGTGTTCAGACTCAGGCTGCTGGGGCCCGGGGCCCAGCCAGTGTCTCTCCTGCAGGAACCACAGCCGAGACTCTACCTGTGTGGCACACTGCAACTTCTACACAGGGTCAGTGGGACTGAGAGAGAGAGAGACAGAGTTAGAGGGGATAGGTGGCTGGCTTTGGTGGGTTTGTGTGTGTTTGGGAGTCTGCTGTGTGTTTAACCATCACTCTGTTGTGTCTCTCTTACCCACCAGTCAGCCTAGGGAGTTTGCAGGGTCTAAGGGGGAGTGTGTCGTCTGTCATCCAGAGTGTCAGCCACAGGAAGGGAGGGGCAGCTGTACTGGACCGGTACACACACCATTTTTCTCACTATCGTTCTCTTCCTCTTTCTTTCTTTCTCTCTCAAATTCAGATTGCTTTATTGGCATGAGAAACATTGTGTAAATATTACCAAAGCATCAATGTATACAATATACCAGGGTTCTTCAATTCCGGTCCCGGAGGGCCGAAACACCTCTGTTTTTCATCCTCTCCTTCTAATCAGGGGCTAATTCAGACCTGGGACACCAGGTGAGCGCAATTAACTACCAGGTAGAAATAAAAAACAGAAGTGTTTCGGCCCTCCAGGACCGGAATTGAAGAACCCTGCAATATACAATATACACATTGGCCAGTTTATTAGATACACCCATCTAGTACTGGGTCGGACACCCCTTTGCCTCGGGGCATGGATTCTACAAGGTGTGGTGTTCAAACGTTACTCAATTGGTATCAGAGGGACCTAACGTGTGCCAGGAAAACATTCCCCACACCATTACCACCAGCCTGTACCGTTGACACCAGGTAGGATGGGGCCATGGACTCATGCTGCTTATGCCAAATCCTGACTCTGCCATCAGCATGATGCAACAGGAACCAGGATTCAATGTTTTTCCACTCCTCAGTTGTCCAGTGTTGGTGATCGCGTGATCGCTCTTATCCAGAAGCAATTAGGGTTAAGTGCCTTGCTCAAGGGCACATCGACAGATTTTTCACCTAGTCGGCTTGGGGATTAGAACCAGCGACCTTTCAGTTACTGGCACAACGCTCTTAACCACTAAGCTACCTGCCGCCCATCCGTGACAAGGAGTTGTGTGTTCCGAGATGCCGTTCTGCACACCACTGTTGTACTGCGCCGTTATTTGTCTGTTTGTGGCCCGCCTGTTAGCTTGCACAATTCTTACCATTCTCCTTCAACCTCTCTCATCAACGAGCTGTTTTCGGCCACAGGACTGCCGCTGACTGGATGTTTTTTATTTGTCGCACCATTCTCTGTAAACCCTAGACACTGTCATGCGTGAAAAGCCCAGGAGATCGGCCGTTTATGAGATACTGGATCAGACGCGCCAGGCACCGACGATCATACCACGCTCAAAGTCGCTTAGGTCACTCGTTTTGCCTATGCTAACGTTTAATCAAACAGTAACTGAATGCCTCGATGCCTGTCTGCCTCCTTTAAATAGCAAGCCATGGCCACGTGACTCACTGTCTGTAGGAGCGAACCATTTTCGTGAATGTGGTGGTGTACCTAATAAACATTGTGATGAGAAATTCCTAAAATAGTACATAATAATCTAATAAAATAGTAATATTTATATTTATTGAAATAACAACAATAGAATGACAACAGTGGATAGTAATAGAAAAATAATGGGGGCAATAAGAAACAGATCGAGAAGAAAAAAGGAGAGAAGGAGAGAGAAAACAGGAGAGAGAGAGAGAGAGAGAAAAAGGAGAGAAGAGAGAGAGAGAAAAAGGAGAGAAGAGAGAGAGAAAAAGGAGCAGAGAACCGGAGAAAAGAGAGAGAAAAAAGAGAGAGAGAGAAAAAGGAGAGAAGAAGAGAGAAAAAGGAGAGAAGAGAGAGAGAGAAAAAGGAGAGAAGAGAGAAGAGAAAAGAGGAGAAGAAAAAGAGGAGAAAAGAGAGAGAAAAAAAAGGAGAAGAAGAGGAAAAAGGAGAGAAAAAAACGATAGGGAATCCGAGATAGAGAGATGAGCTAGTCGTATAGATCCGATACAAGATAGCAAATCTCTTCTCGCTTCTCTCATCGATTTTCCTTGTCTAGCTCTCTCTCTCTCTCTCTCTATCTCGTCTCTCTCTACTTTCTTATCTCTCTCTCTCTCTCTCTCTCTCCTCTCTCTCTCTCTCTCTCTCTCTCTCTCTCTCTCTCTCTCTTCTCTTCTCTCTCTCTCTCTCTCTCTCTCTCTCAATCTCCCTAGCAACTAACCCTCACTGCTACCTTCACCTATACAGTCTATAAGTGAAAGGATAGAAAGGGTTATGGCTGGGATCTAATACTTTTACACTGTTCTTGGCTTTTAATTCTCTCATTCCTCAGATGATTTGGTGTATGACTCATTTTATTACGGTAGTAGTGACCTCCGTCATGAAGCATGTCCTCCCACACTGTTTTCACAGTAGTTTCACAGTGTGTTTTCTGTGATCTTTCTGTTGCTTAGCACATACTGTTCTGAGAACTAAAACACTATCCTCTTAGGTGATAGGCATTTGTTTGCTTTTGGCTTATCAGTATTTCTCAATAATCGTATGTGGCATTGTATTTGAAATCTAAATGGTGATGATTCATTTGGTAGTTAACCCACACACACCTTTCCACATCACATACCCTGTGCATGACATCATGTACCGCAAGATAATGGGAATAATGCCAGGCCAAACAGGGTGGACTAGTATATTGCCCAAGCTGCAGTATATTGCCCATTAGATATCACATCAACATCAGATTATATTTCTTATCATACAGGAACACATTTGCAGAAAGAGTGCCGTAATGTTTCACTCTTCATCAATATAGTGGCTTATATGCCCTCTTTTCTGACATTGGTAACTGATTTCTCTCTTTCTCCCTCCCTCCCCCCTCTCTCTGTCTCTCTCTTTCCCTCACCCACCTGTCTCTCTTTCCTTCTTTCTCCCTCTCTCTTCTCTTTCTCTCTCTCCCCCCCTCTCCCAGGGGTCTGAAGAGTGTGTGGTGTGTGCCAGTCTGAGAGACGGTCCTCACTGTGTGCCCTCCTGCCCCAGTGGGGTGAATGGAGAGAACGGGCAGTTCATCTTCAAATACCCCAACAAGGACAACTACTGTGAGCCCTGCCATGTCAACTGCACACAGGGGTGGGTGGGTGTATGTGTGTGTGTGTGTGTGTGTGTGTGTGCGTGCGTGCGTGCGTGTGCTGCAGAGTAAAGCTGTGCCTCTTGTTGCAGGTGTTCGGGTCCAGGATTGAGTGACTGTATAGACAACACTAGACACTCCACTAGGTGAGTGTCTCCCCCTGCTGGTGTTTATATGAACACACACACCCACACTCAAACAAATCAAATCAAATTATATTGGTCACATGCACCGAATACAACAGGTGTAGACTTTACAGTGAAATGCTTACTTACGAGCCCTTTCCCAACAGTGCAGAGTTAAAAAGTATGACAAATCTTTGCTAAATAACACAATAAAAACAATAATGAGGCTATATACAAGGAGTACCAGTACCGGGTCAATGTGCAGGGGTACAAGGTAGTTGAGGTAATTGAGGTAATACAGTATGTACATGTGGGTAGGGGTAAAAGTGACTAGGCATTCAGGATATATAATAAGCAGAGTAGCAGCAGCGTACAGTTGAAGTCAGAAGTTTACATACACCTTAGCCAATTACATTTAAACTCAGTTTTTCACAATTCCTGACATTTATTCCTAGTAGAAACTCCCTGTCTTAGGTCAGTTAGGCTCACAACTTTATTTTAAGAATGTGAAATGTCAGAATAATAGTAGAGTGATTTATTTCAGCTTTTATTTCTTTCATCACATTCCCAGTGGGTCAGAAGTTTACATACACTCAATTAGTATTTGGTAGCATTGCCTTTCAATTGTTTAACTTGGGTCAAACGTTTCGGGTAGCCTTCCACAAGCTTCCCACAATAAGTTGGGTGAATTTTGGCCCATTCCTCCTGACAGAGCTGGTGTAACTGAGTCAGGTTTGTAGGCCTCCTTGCTTGCACACGCGTTTTCAGTTCTGCCCACAACTTTCTATAGGGTTGAGGTTAGGGCTTTGTGATGGCCACTCCAATACCTTGACTTTGTTGTCCTTAAGCCATTTTGCCACAACGTTGGAAGTATGCTTGGGGTCATTGTCCATTTGGAAGACCCATTTGCGACCAAGCTTTAACTTCCTGACTGATGTCTTGAGATGTTGCTTCAATATATCCACATAATTTTCCTTCCTCATGAAGCCATCTATTTTGTGAAGTGCACCAGTCCCTGCTGCAGCAAAGCACCCCCACAGCATGATGCTGCCACCCCCCGTGCTTCACGGTTGGGATGGTGTTCCTTTTTCCTCCAAACGTAACGATGGTCATTATGGCCAAACAGTTCTATTTTTGTTTCATCAGACCAGAGGACATTTCTCCAAAAAGTACTATATTTGTCCCCATGTGCAATTGCAAACCGTAGACTGGCTATTTTATGGCGGTTTTGGAGCAGTGGCTTCTTTCTTGCTGAGCGGCCTTTCAGGTTATGCCGATATAGGACTCGTTTTACTTGGGATATAGATACTTTTGTACCTGTTTCCTCCAGCATCTTCGCAAGGTCCTTTGCTGTTGTTCTGGGATTGATTCGCATTTTTCGCCCCAAAGTACGTTCATCTCTAGGAGACAGAACGCGTCTCCTTCCTGAACGGTATGACGGCTGCGTGGTCCCATGGTGTTCATACTTCCGTACTATTGTTTGTACAGATGAACGTTGTACCTTCAGGCGTTTGGAAATTGCTCCCAATGATGAACCAGACTGAGGTCTTGGCTGATTTCTTTTGATTTTCCCATGATGTCAAGCAAAGAGGCACTGAGTTTGAAGGTAGGCCTTGAAATACATCCACAGGTACACCTCCAATTGACTCAAATAATGTAAATTAGCCTATTTTAAAAGCCATGACATCATTTTCTGGAATTTTCCAAGCTGTTTAAAGACACAGTCAACTTAATGTATGTAAACCTCTGACCCACTGGAATTGTAATACAGTGAAATAATCTGTCTGTAAACAATTGTTGGAAAAATGACTTGTGTCATACACAAAGTAGATGTTCTAACCGACTTCCCAAAACTATAGTTTGTTAACAAGAAATTTGTGGAGTGGTTGAAAAACAAGTTTTAATGACTCCAACCTAAGTGTATGTAAACTTCCAACTTCAACTGTATATTTAGTATAGGTTTATTTAAAAAGGATAACTTTTTTAATGTTTCACTATTTTAGATTTTATGAAATTCACTGAGGAGGATGGTCCTCCCCTTCCTCCTCTGAGGAGCCTCCACTGCTGAAAACCCTATTGACACTTCAACTGTGTGTGTGTGTGTGTGTGTGTGTGTGTGTGTGTGTGTGTGTGTGTGTGTGTGTGTGTGTGTAGAGTCTAGTGAGCAAAACAATTACGATAAAGAAATAAATACCAATTTTTCTCCTGTAGCCCTCAGATCACAGGGATAGCGTTGGGAGTGCCGGCTGCCCTCATAGTCTGCCTGGCATTGTTTGTGTTGGGCATGCTGTACCACCGTGGCCTGGCCATCCACAGGAAGAGAGCCATGAGGAGGTACCTGGAGAGTGGAGAGGTGAACTCCTTAGGGAAATACAGCAACTTAACTGACAGTCATTTCTGCAGAACTGAGGGAAATATTGGATGTACAGTATCAGGAAGTCTAATATAGACCTATTGTATCCAATGCACTTGTGCATTCATGTAATGTGAACTAGTGTGTTTGTGTGCTAATGTACTTGTGTGTGTGTGTGTGTGTGTGTGTGTGTGTGGCCAGAGTTTTGAGCCGCTGGGGCCAGGAGAGAAGGGAGCCAAGGTTCATGCCCGGATCCTGAGGGCCCCAGAGCTGAAAAAGATCAAAGTCCTGGGCTCTGGAGTGTTTGGCACCGTACACAAAGGCCTGTGGATCCCTGAGGGAGACTCCGTGAAGATTCCTGTAGCCATTAAGACCATCCAGGACCGCACAGGCAGACAGACCTTCACTGAGATCACTGATGTAAGAACCACACACTCTTAACACACCGATACTGAGTAACTATACTAACCTCTAGACAGAATACACTAGAATCCCTTGTCACCAGATCTGTTTGTGTAGCGCAGGTGGGTTTTATTGAAGAGTAACCTTGCCTGAGACCTAAATACTTGCGTTAGGTCCCTGAGCTAATGCCTGGGCTTTAGCTTGGTGAGCTTACACAGTCTTGTGGCACTGTCTGATTCCCTCTCTCTCACTCTGTGTGTCCGCCTGTGCAGCACATGTTGTCCATGGGCAGTCTGGACCACCCCTACATCGTCAGGCTCTTAGGTGTCTGCCCAGGTGCCAGTCTCCAGCTGGTCACCCAGCTCAGCAGCCAGGGGTCCTTACTGGAGCACATCAGGCAACACAAAGACATCCTGGACCCACAGAGACTGCTCAACTGGTGTGTGCAGATAGCTAAGGTAAGGTCACAGGGTCACGATCAATAAACAGTAGAACCCTTTTTGGTTCCAGGTCCTGTTCACCTCAAAGAACCCTTAATCAACCCCTTTAAAAACGTTCTACCTGGAACCAAAAAGGTTTTTCTTACTATGGTACAGCAGAGAAAAAAACTATATAATGAAATCTTTGTGTGTCTTCTCTTCAGGGCATGTACTACCTAGAGGAGCACTGTATGGTCCACAGGAACCTGGCTGCGAGGAACGTGATGCTGAAAAGTGATTACTTTGTCCAGATTTCTGACTATGGTGTGGCTGACCTGCTCTATCCTGATGACAAGAAATATGTCTACAGTGACAGTAACAAGGTAATCAGGATTCAGGACTCATGAATCCTGAATTCACTGCTTCATTCACCTTAATTAATCTATCAAGATATAATATTTCACAAGTTGTTGTCCAATATAACAGACAAAATGAGCTTCCGTTTCTGTTTCTATAGCTAGGTTTCCATCCAATTGGCGACAGATGTTCATGCAAATATTCTATAATTCGCATTAAGAAAATATGAAAATTTTCCCACAAGTGGTCTGTTTCCACCAAACGGACTTGTTGCGGGAAAAAAATCAGTGCGTGATGACGTAGTGCACACAAAATGTACTTTTTCGCTTACATTTTCATGTACCAAATAAAAATCTGAAGTACAATGTGTTTCCATCGCATTTTCAACTCTACCGACAGTTTTGTCACAAAAACGGTTGCGTTAAATAGCAAATGTGCTTACTCTGGTCTTGGCATGTGGGCTCTAGCTGTAGCTGGCAGATACAGTGTGGGTAGGCTGTGCTGGTAGGCTAGTCTACATGATGAGATTATTATGGATAACGGCGAGAATATTTGTATTTGTCAAACGGCAGCCAAGCGTCGATCATCATGTCACCACTATAAGACCCTCGATATTTATTGGAAAGGAGCATGAAGATCACTGTGTACTTTCACCACCCTGTGAAGTTCATCATAACTTATTTTATCTGTAGAGATTCCCGTGTCGTAGTGGGAGGACCACACACCATGTCTTTGCATGACAACAAGTTTACTTCGATATGATGGTTATTATATCTATAATTGCACATAAAGGCGTTTCCACCGCCATTTCTCGTATAATACATTTTACCGACACAAAAAGATCCCACCATGTCGAACGAACAAATTATCTCTCGGGCTTTATGAAATTGTACCGAAATGTCCAGCTGTCTTGATTTTTTTTATACGATATGGAAACGTGGTTTATGTTACTTCCAGACTCCCATAAACATAAAATGGATGTCCCTGGAGAGTATCCTGTTCCGAAGATACACTCATCAGAGTGATGTCTGGAGTTATGGTAAGACAGCATGATCATCATTTTATAATATGTTTGTTTGTATGTACAGTATGTCTGTCTGTCCGGCCGCCTGTCCATCCCTCTGCTGTCCGTCCCATCTGTCGGTCTGTCATCATTATGCATCACCTCTCCCCTCTCCAGGAGTGACGGTATGGGAGATGATGTCATTTGGGGCAGAGCCCTATGCCTCCATGCAGCCACAGGACGTGCCCAGTCTACTTGAGAAGGGAGAGCGTCTGTCCCAGCCCCACATATGCACCATAGATGTCTACATGGTCATGGTCAAGTGTGAGTAATAGTATAAATTAATGTACATATAAGGCACATCCAACGACCAACACAACTGCCATGGGATAAGAGGAAAAATACCAGCACACTTTTTAAATTCTCCTAGTTTTATTAGCAAGGTTTTGTCCACAAACGATCCCCATCAGAACATTAATAGTTGAAATGTCGTTATTAAAATGACGTTTTTTCCTCCTTTTCCATTGGGTGACTAACACACAACATACCTCTCACTCTGTGCTCTTTGACACACATAAACAATCTTATACTGTTACAGTATATGCATAGTGCCAACCGCTGCACCCAGCAACCTTTGGACATAAAAAATCCTATTGTTTTCTATTACCAGGCTGGATGATTGACGAGAATATTCGACCAACCTTCAAAGAACTGGCCAATGACTTTATTCGCATGGCAAGAGACCCGCCTCGCTACCTTGTCATCAAGGTAAGGAAAAGATTACAGGACTATATTACTTTTCTGTCTATACACTAAGAAAGTGATACAGCATTTTACAGGAAGTAGGCTTGTAGTTTTTAACTTTTGTAGGCTTTTTGAATGGTCTTTAATGGGTAGAAACGTAGCGCAATGGTCTTCAGCACAAATACTTCATAAACGGTATCTGGCAGAAGTAAAGTAATCCACAAACACAAGTATAATTTAATTGTACATATACAGTGGGATCTGGAATTATTGGATTACTTGATAAAGAGGAACAAAAAATACTGTATAGAATAAATAATACAAATACTGAGTTATATTGTATGTTCAGAAAAATTTGAAAATTATATAATTGTATACTAATATAATTGCTCAGAGAAAGAGATTTGGTTTCTCAAGTAATAAAACAAAATCTAAAATAGATAGGGGTCAAAATGATTGTTTTCAATACTCTAGCACCCTCCGCTTTTTCAAAAATGTTTTATGAGTTTGGAAAACACATTGGGAGGGATCTTAGACCATTCCTCCAAGAATCTTTCCAGATCCTCGAAATCCTATGTCTGCACTTATGCACTGGCCTCTTCAATTCAAACCACAGGTTTTCAATGGGGTTCAAGTCCGGAGACTGAGATGGCCATTGCAAAATGTTGATTGTGTGGTCACTGTTTGTGTGGATTTTATTTTATTTTTTTATATTTAGAAAATGGTGTAATTTTGACCCCCTTTATCATGATTACGATCTTGTCTCATTGCTGCAACTCCCCAATGGGCTCGGGAGAGTCATGCGTCCTCCGAAACATGACCCGCCAAACTGCACTTCTTAACACCCGCTCACTTAACCCAGAAGCACCAATGTGTCAGAGGAAACACTGTTCAACTGATGAGCAAAGTCAGCCTGCAGGTGCCTGGCCTGCCACAAGGAGTCACTAGAGCACAATGAGCCAAGTAAAGCCCGCCCGGCCAAACCCTCCCCTAACCAATTGTGCGCCGCCCTATGGGACTCCCGGTCACGGCCAGTTGTGACACAGCCTGGGATTGAACCCAGGTCTGTAGTGACACCTCAAGCACTGCAATGCAGTGCCTTAGACCGCTGCGCCACTCGGGAGGCCCCCACTTTATCTTAGATGACTGCATTTGTGATTAGGGGACTGACCCCGGAAGTATGACATAATGCAGAGTCACTTTCATAGCGTATTCAAGTCCTTGAGTGGCCCATTGACAGAAGTCATTGGGCTTGTTCGACATTGCAACCGACAGTGCAAGTGGCTGCCGACTGACTGATCTACAAAGAATAACTACTCATCATAAATAACTACTCATTATTATTTGTAGATCAGTCAGTCACAATTTACCCATGATATATATTTTTCACAATTTACGGTTTTAATCCTCTCGAACACGGCCCTTATTAATGACGCTTTGCCTATAGGACAGAGGAGAGGCAGGGCCAGAAGAATCTCACCAACGGGAATCAGCACTGGCCAATTTGGAGGCAGGCCTGGAGGACCAGGATGAGGACGGTTTGGCCACTCCTCCTCTCACCTTGTCCCCATCCAGGACTCTGTCTCGCTTGAGGATGAGCTCATATAGGGTAAATCTTACTTACAGTATTCTGCACACATACAGTGGGGAGAACAAGTATTTGATACACTGCCGATTTTGCAGGTTTTCCTACTTACAAAGCATGTAGAGGTCTGTAATTTGTATCATAGGTACACTTCAACTGTGAGAGACGGAATCTAAAACAAAAATCCAGAAAATAACATTGTATGATTTTTAAGTAATTCATTTGCATTTTATTGCATATAGAGCGTTGCGCCAGTAACCGACAACTTTCCTTTCTAATTCGCAACCAGAGATCTGTATATAATGACCAGATGGTCATGTCTCTACCCTAACAATGCGAGTCGTTGTCCCAAAGGCGGGAATGCAGGCGACAAGCTTAGGTCTGCATATTATGCCCAAATAAACGCATTGGGCTTATTCAGGAAATATTTTGGCAAGAGTGAGCCCTCTCGCTTCGCCTCTTCCTCTCTGCTGAAACTAGCAAGCGAAACAGCGCTCCTCTACTGTATGTAGCCCATTTACCTGATGCTGTCTGGCCAGAAAAAGTATGACATGCCATACTCTTGTCCAGACAGCATCAGATACATGGTCTACGTATACGGAGACAGAGGGGGGCTGTTTCGCTTGCTCAGATTGATGCATCTTTCTGTCGGCGCGCGTCTCGTTCAAATAAATGATCAATCTTTTATTTGGACGGGAAAGGAGGTACGGTAGGGCGGGTCAGGTACCCTAGGGCCCGCCCATAACGCCGGCCCTGCAGCAGTCATAACCATTTTATAGCTCAATGGTCATAACAACCCTACCCCAGATAGTCATGACTAACATTTACTAGAAACATGTTAGTTCATTGAAGAGACTGGTATAGAGGGATCACATCTCCACATAACCAGAGTGATATCCTACTGAACAAGCTAGATCTACTCAGGGTTTTCTAAAGCTAACCAGCTTCAGTTAGCTTCACATTCTAGCTCACAGGCAGGCTTCTTACATACTAGGGTTTCAATTCCACCACCTCCGAAATCGTCAGACGAAGTTCCGCCCCCATTCATTTTTAGCGGGAGCATGCGGAGTAATGCGCAGGGGATTGTGGGAATGTGAGCTGCGCGAACTCTGCTAGCTGAGCGATAGAAAAAGTTAAACTATGCTCTACTTTATGCAAATTGCACAAGGACACGGCTTCCGTTAACCAATCAGGTGAGGAGCAGATGTTTGCTTGAAAATCTTTTGTTCATTAAACATAGTTCTCATTAGCTCCAGTCAAGAACAACCAAAAAAGATGGAGGAAAGCCAATTATTACAGGGTCTGGTATTCCAATTCTATATGATGTGGATTTGCTAGAATACAGAGACAAAATCATATGGTCAATGGCATGGAGGAGGATCGCAGAGATTATTGGTGTTGATGGTGGGTGAAGAGAGATTTGCACGTTTGCTTGTGCTGCTAACTAGCTATGAATTTACAGTGCATTCGGAAAGTCTTCAGACCCCTTGACTTTTTCCACATTTTGTTATGTTACAGTCTTATTCTAAAATTGATTAAATTGTGCCTTGACACAATCCTGTCTCGGAGCTCTACGGACAATTCCTTCGACCTCATGGCTTGGTTTTTGCTCTGACTTGCACTGTCAACTGTGGGACCTTAAATAGACAGGTGTGTGCCTTTCCAAATAATGTCCAATCAAGTTGTAGAAACATCCCAAGGATGATCAATGGAAACAGGATGCACCTGAGCTGAATTTTGAGTCTCAAAGCAAAAATCCAGAAAATCACATTGTATGATTTTTAAGTAATTAATTTGAATTTTATTGCATGACATAAGTATTTGATACATCAGAAAAGCAGAACTTAATATTTGGTACAGAAACCTTTGTTTGCAATTACAGAGATCATACGTTTCATGTAGTTCTTGACCAGGTTTGTACACACTACAGCAGGGATTTTGGCCCAATCCTCCATACAGACCTTCTCCAGATCCTTCAGGTTTCGGGGCTGTCGCTGGGAAATACGGACTTTGAGCTCCCTCCAAAGATTTTCCATTGGGTTCAGGTCTGGAGACTGGCTAGGCCATTCCAGGACCTTGAGATGCTTCTTACGGAGCCACTCCTTAGTTGCCCTGGCTGTGTGTTTCGGGTCGTTGTCTTGCTGGAAGACCCAGCCACGACCCATCTTCAATGCTCTTACTGAGGGAAGGAGGTTGTTGGCCAAGATCTTGCGATACATGGCCCCATCCATCCTCCCCTCAATACGGTGCAGTCATCCTGTCCCCTTTGCAGAAACGCATCCCCAAAGAATGATGTTTCCACCTCCATGTTTCATGGTTGGGATGGTGTTCTTGGGGTTGGACTCATCCTTCCTCTTCCTCCAAACACGGCGAGTGGAGTTTAGACCAAAAAGCTATATTTTTGTCTCATCAGACCACATGACCTTCTCCCATTCCTCCTCTGGATCATCCAGATGGTCATTGGCAAACTTCAGACGGGCCTGGACATGCGCTGGCTTGAGCAGGGGGACCTTGCGTGCGCTGCAGGATTTTAATCCATGACGGCGTAGTGTGTTACTAATGGTTTTCTTTGAGACTGTGGTCCCAGCTCTCTTCAGGTCATTGACCAGGTCCTGCCGTGTAGTTCTGGGCTGATCCCTCACCTTCCTCATGATCATTGATGCCCCACGAGGTGAGATCTTGCATGGAGCCCCAGACCGAGGGTGATTGACCGTCATCTTGAACTTCTTCCATTTTCTAATAATTTCGCCAACAGTTGTTGCCTTCTCACCAAGCTGCTTGCCTATTGTCCTGTAGCCCATTCCAGCCTTGTGCAGGTCTACAATTTAAGCCCTGATGTCCTTACACAGCTCTCTGGTCTTGGCCATTGTGGAGAGGTTGGAGTCTGTTTGATTGAGTGTGTGGACAGGTGTCTTTTATACAGGTAACGAGTTCAAACAGGGGCGGCAGGTAGCTTAGTGGGTAAGAGCGTTGTGCCAGTAACCGAAAGGTCGCTGGTTCTAATCCCCGAGCCGACTAGGTGAAAAATCTGTCGATGTGCCCTTAAGCAAGGCACTTAACCCTAATTGCTCCTGTAAGTCGCTCTGGATAAGAGCGTCTGCTAAATGACTAAAATGTAAATGTAAATGTAATGAGTGAAGAACAGGAGGGCTTCTTAAAGAAAAACTAACAGGTCTGTGAGAGCCGGAATTCTTACTGGTTGGTAGGTGATCAAATACTTATGTCATGCAATAAAATGCAAATGATATATTAAAAAATTATACACTGTGATTTTCTGGATTTTTGTTTTAGATTCCGTCTCTCACAGTTGAAGTGTACCTATGATAAAAATTACAGACCTCTACATGCTTTGTAAGTAGGAAAACCTGCAAAATCGGCAGTGTATCAAATACTTGTTCTCCCCACTGTAAATTGAATTTCTGCACTTATCACTCATTGACATCTATTGAGTTACGCACTCAAATTTCTAGTTATAAAATGACAGTGGGAACTTCAACCACTCTCTCTCTCTCTTTGACCTCTCAGAGTTCCAGTGTGACCTCTCAGGCCGGACCAGTAGGGTACCTACCCATGACCCCCGGCCCTGGAGATAACCCCTGTCAGGTGAGACACCACAACACATCACACATCACAGATAAGGAGGACTTGATATTAGCGCCTTCATTTCCCCCTTCGAATAGCCAGACACCACTGGCCCTAACACATCAGATCTTCAGTACAAGAGGACTTGGCCTTATAATACAGCCAGACATATTTAGTTGAGAGCAATGAATAGTTTGACTCCCCTTTGCCAAATCGCTTAGTTTAAATCAGTATTATGGCTAAACATTGCCAAAAGGAAACAACTGCTCTAGCAAGTTCAGACACATTAAAAATATTATTTTGGATTCATCTCTATCCCACTGCCAGTTCCATTTGGTGGTGATATTTATGAAGATAATAAGGCTACCTCTCTTGTTGTTGATGATGATGATGATGATGCTGATTTTATGTAATGTTTTCCTCAAACTCAAATCTCTTTCCATTGTGTGAAATTCTTCCAGCTGTTCTCCCAGCGGTCTCGACTGAACTCAGCTCGAACGCTGTCGGAGGGGTCAGAGGGCAGTGGCCTGGACAATGAGCTGGCAGAGGGAGTGTCACTGAGTGGCAGCCTGCGCAGGCAGCAGCTCAGGGCTGGCAGGGACAGTAGTGGCAGTAGTACCCACCACACCTCCACCACCATGGTGCATAGGAGCCCATCTGCAGTCTCGAAGTCACCCTCCTACAGGCCTGAGGAGGAGGAGGAGGAGGACCACTATGGATATGTACTGCCTGGAGTGTCAGGCACTCCTGAGAGAGGTGAGAGGGAGAGGTGACCCCTGGATGTGAAGGCTACACAGCAAATGGATGTGATATTTTTTTAATCTGTTTTGATGGCGTTATAGAATTCTATGTTCTATTCTCTAATATCTGTTTCCTCCTTTCCATGGTAGATTATCTTCTGTCTTGCCCAGCCTCCAGAACTTCTCACCCAGGTAGAGCATCTCTCAGGGGCTCTAGGAGCTCCAAGAATCCACTGTCACCATTGGCAACCATCTCAGACCCCACTGAGGACTATGAGCTGATGACCAAACAGCCGTCCCCTCTGCCCCGCTCCCCCAGAGCCACCTCTGTACAGATAGAAGGGCCTTCAACTGTCATATGGAGGAAAACCTCTCCTCTGCCCTCCCCTACCTACAATACAGCACCCTCACCACTAGAGGGGGACTCACTGATGCATGGGGACTCTCCAAGCACTGCAGCTGCTCTGAGGGGAAGCCAGGGGTCAGCAGAGGTCACTGACAGTTCTGTGGCTGTAGTTGTATCAGTAGAGGGAGAGGAGCTGCATCCGCTGTCTGAGAGGCCTGACAGTGGAGCTGCTTTGTTTGACAACCGAGGGGCCTCTCAGGGTCAGAGGAGGCCAGAGCAGGGGGCAGTAGTGGAGTATGAACACATGGACATGTGCAGCACCACGAACACCACAGACACAGAGAGACCCATCTGGGAGAGGCGGGAGAGCCAAGCAGCTGACTTGAGGAGCACAGAGGCAGAAGAACGAGAGAGAAAAGAAGGAAAGAGTCAGGACCTAGAGGAGGAAAGGAAGGATGAGGAAGCTGGCGAGGAGGATGATGTTTACCAATATACTAATGAACAACCCAGACTCCTCCGAGAGAGCAGCGGAGAGGTGGGGCCCAGCCCCAGCCCCAAGCCCAGCCTACGCCCCAAACCCAGCCTCCTCCCCAAGCCCAGCCTCAGCCCCAGCCCCAAGCCCAGCCTCCTCCCCAAGCCCAGTCTTATCCCCAGACCTAACCCTAGGCCAGATGGCTCCACAGCTATGGCAGAGAGCCAGGTGGAGGTGGAGGAGTATGAGGAGATGGATGCCTTTGGAGGGGACTCGAGGGGCTCCCAGCGAGTGGACCACCAGGAGGCAGAGTACCAGAACCTCCCAGTCCCAGGGAATGGGAGGACCACTTCAGCTGAGGTGGAGGGGGGTACGGGCACCAGGTGTGCCGGGCTGGGGGTGAAGGGGTACATCAAAGTGTGCTCCAGTGTGGGAGTGGTAGAGCCGAGCAGCAACACATCGTTTGACAACCCTGACTACTGGCACAGCAGACTGTTCCTCAAGCCAGATGCTGTGCGCACATAATGATGTGGACTGAGAAAACAACAACAACCATGATGAAGCAAGCACAGTCAGATATATTTTATATAATCATGTATCAGGCTCTGGTGCAGCTCAACCAGTAATGGAGCACTCTTTTAGTACTGATGAAGGAGTTGTTTGTAATGTAGTGTATGTATGTATTCTCAGGTGGTTTACATCATCCATACCAACCTCATTCACCAAAGAAACATACGCAAAATGTCCTATGTAGCATTGATGTTATCCATCTGTTTATAGTGGCATCCCAGTCTCAGAAATGTAACCAAGTAGGCAGCTCAACATCAATGTGAGCAAAAATCACAAAGTCAAAGGCAAATAGAATATGGAGAAATAGATAGACATAGCATACAAAATGTACATAGATACACATAGCATGTATACATAAAGCAGAAATAGGCAGCCAATGTACACACACTGATGCTGGATCAAATTCCAGTGTTTGCACTTCAACGTGTTCCACTTCCTGGTGAAGCCAATGTTTACCTACGTAGAACCTCAAGGTTCCCTGGGTGAGGACTGCCATGTAATGTAAATTTGTAGCTTATAGTTTCCTATATGAAATTAAGTATTCTTGATGAACATGTATGGATGAATTTCAGTCGTTGGCTATGTTATTGCAAGTGATTGGAGACAAGCACTGTTTTGTCCAAAAAATTATAGTTTTCATGTAATATAATGTGAATTGCTGTCATGAAAAAATTAATATTGATACATATAATTGTTTTACAACAGTTTTGAGTTTTGCATTTGATTGTGTGTGTGTGTCTGTGAAAGAGAGAGACAGAGAGAGAAAAGCAAGTTAAGAGATATGCATACACTATTTTTGATTAGTCATAATGTATATATGCAGATAATATAATACTGAAGAATGGTACCAGGACTAAATCTAATGACTACTGAATAAGGCCTAATTTACTGATAAAAAGGTTATTCAGTCAGTGCAGTAAAGCACCAATTCAATTTTGTGCTCAGCGTGCACGCAGTGCGTGGGACGTCGTCAGCTAGTAGGAGGGACCTCGAGCGTTTTGGGCCTGGGCTAGAACTGCGGAGGAGGAGAGAGCAGACCAGGCAGCGTGGTCGAGTCTGTAGCTGAAACCCGCGAAAAAGTTACTTTGAGTGCGAAAGAGCTACCGAAAATATGTCTGGAGACGACGATCCACAAGAGCAGACCATCGCCGATGACTTGGTCGTCACCAAGTACAAAATGGGGGGCCGAGATTGCCAACCGTAAGTGAATATGAACATGTTGATTTAGTAGAAGATTGAAGAGTTGAAACGTGACCGAGTCCAGATTGTAGCTAAACTGGCTAATATGCTAACGCTAGCTAAGCTATCACAATGCAGACATGTGCTGTGTTGCTAGCTAGCGATAAATCAATGACACTGTCTCCTCGGGGCTAGCATTTGGCCCGTGTCGTAGAGATATCGTAGCCATGAGTTAGTGTATTATTGCTAGCTAATAGTAAAGTTAGTCTATACATGCACTTATGTAACTGCTAGTTAGCTAAAGTGGATAAATTCTAGTGGCTAAATGATGGTGGCTAACTGGACATGCTGCTAATGAGCTAACTAGCTAAGATCCAATGCACTGCCTGGAAAGTTGTCACTGCTGTTAAAACTAACTGGTTAACAAACTACCTTCCGAATAAGTTATGATTCCAGTTACATTTAGCTAGCAACTATTTGTTAAGTTTAGTCAGTTAATTACCAGAGTCACTTCAACTAGCGCATTAGCTAACTACGTAGTAGAGCTGTTAAACGCAAAGCAAAGAGGTAGTTTTTTTCTAGCGCTCAGCTCTTGCATGCTGTCAATCATCCTGAACTGTCACCTGCAGCAAGTGAATCGTTTACTCAATAAATCTATGGTGCTCAATGTATATGTAACAGTCTTGCGTCAGGCCCGCTCCTCACCCCAACCTGGGCTTGAACTAGGGACCCTCTGCACACAAAGTAACCATGAAGCATCGTTACCTATCGCGCCACAAAAGCTGCGGCCCTTGCAGAGCAAGGGAAACGACGACTTCAAGGTCTCAGAGCGAGTGACGTCCCCGCGCAATGCTGACTATCTAGCCATTTCACAACGTTTACAGATAGGCACAATGACCATCAGCATCTGTCAATTCAGTGACAATGCATTGCCTCAGACCTGCAACGCGTAAAACAACTATAGCCAGCAACTATGCTATAACGTTACTCCCTGTGCATCAAAATGGAAGACCTGGAAGTGTGTTCCTTGGAATCTATGTAAATCTAGATGATCCCACATAATAATCATGTAATTTGCTTCAATGACAAGAATCAGATATTTGCCCCATGGAATGCTTCGTAAACAACAGGTGTAGACTACTAACAGAATACCAGTGAAATGCTATTCGACGAGCAGATCTAAAAGTGTGAATATCCACGGCCTTGCCTTATCAAGGTCTCCATTAGTCATCTTCCCTGATCCTAATACTTGAAGCTTACTTACTTAACCTCTGTTCTGTCCTCCTGTGTCTTTTCCTATTCAGAGGCCCTGAAGGCTGTGGTGGAGGCAGCCAAGGCTGGGGAGACAGTTGTCAGCCTCTGTGCAAAGGGAGATGCCTTCATCATGGCTGAAACTGGAAAGGTCTTCAGGAAGGAGAAGGACCTGAAAAAAGGTATGGGCCTCATCTCATTGGTTAACTCACTTATTTGCGTTGTCATCATGACATAGTGAAATCAAGTAGCTTTTATAGAGTTTTGTAGTTTACTTTTTTGACTGAAGGAAAGTTGTGTTAAATCTCAAGTCTTATCATCGCTTACTCATATCCTTTCTCCTTACCACCTCAAAACATCTGAGGGAAGTGAGGAGAGAGGAGACAAGGAAAACACTTGATATTCTCTTGTTGTGCATGAAAAATAACTTACTGACATTATTCAATGTAACTAAATGTCTGTACTTATTGCCTCCCTCAGGCATTGCTTTCCCAACCAGCGTGTCTGTCAACAACTGCGTGTGCCACTTCTCTCCCCTGAAGAGTGACCCTGAGATTGTACTGAAGGACGGGGACCTCATCAAAATGTAGGAACATTGTATTGTATTGGAACGTTGAACATTGTTTTTCGCTCTCCCTGTATGGACCTTCATGTGTTGTCTGATTTTTGGCTGTGCAGTGACCTGGGGGTGCACGTCGATGGCTTCATCTCAAACCTGGCTCACAGCTTTGTGGTTGGAGTGACCAAGGTAGTAGACCTTAATTGTTGTTTGCAGTGACATTAGCAAGAGTGCTGATGATGTTGATAATATGTTCTGTGTCATACAGAATGCCAGCATTACGGATATTCACAGAGACAGACGTACAGCACATCAAACATTACATGCATAGTGCATCAGTCACGTAATGTTAGAAAGAGGATTCACGTAGACAACCATCCAGTGCAGTAAAACACAGCTACATAACGTTAGATGGTTGTATTTTTCCTGTGTAATCAGCTGCTATGTTGCTTCACCTTCTCGTCCTGTTTTCTCTTCATCAGGAGGCTCCGTTGACGGGGCGTAAAGCTGACGTGATTAAAGCGGCACATCTGTGTGCCGAGGCTGCCCTCAGACTGGTCAAGCCTGGAAACCAGGTGAGGTGCTGAGTTAGCGCTTTACTGAGTGGACAGTCGTGGACTAGCCTGGTCCCAGATCTGGTTGTGCTTTATAGCCAACTCCTATGGTTAAGTTGGCTATATAGCACAAACAGAGCGGGGACCAGGCTAGTCAGGGACACAGTGACCAGTTAGAAAAAAGCTTAACAAACGAATAAAGTTGGTATCATTGTAACGGTACAGTATTTCCATCAATGGATTTATAGCGGTTTAACATTTAGGATGTTTGTCTTTCGTTCAGAACTCACAGGTCACAGAAGCCTGGAATAAGATCGCCAAGTCATTCAAATGCTCAGCCATAGAGGGGTGAGTCACTCCTTGTCATTTAACCTAGTTGGCACCTCACTGCCATATTCATACACAATACATTCAATCCCTTACATCTTGTACCGGTAGCTTGCCAAATCACATACCTTGACTTTATTCCAATGTAACACTCTCTCCTCAGGCATGCTGTCCCATCAGTTGAAGCAGCATGTTATTGACGGAGAGAAAACCATAATTCAGAACCCCACGGACCAGCAGAGGTGAATGGAAGACATGATTAGTCCCAGACCTCTGGCTTGTTTAGTGTTACTTATCCGATGCAGATCTCAGTTATTGTTTCTCGTGTCTTTGTGTGTCTGAAGCACCCAATGAATTACTAATAGTAATTGCTCTTAGGGTACAAATAAAGTTGTATTGAATTATTAATGGCCTTGTTGCTCTCTCTCTGTGTAGGAAGGACCACGAGAAGGCTGAGTTCGAGGTGCATGAGGTGTACGCCGTGGATGTGCTCATCAGCACCGGAGAAGGCAAGGTGAGGGACAAACATTCACTTAACATTCTAGTCACGTTAGGCTCAAATTCCCTGCTGGTTGTTCTCAAATCTTTGAAATTATCAGCTTCAGGAGCACCAAAACCGTGAGGAGACATTACCTTTTTTCTATGCATTGGATGACTCTACTGTCCAACTCCTGTCATCACTTTGGATGTGCTGTAAAAGCCCATCCTTCCCATGTCTTCTACTCTACTCCACTCCAGGCGAAGGATGCAGGCCAGAGGACCACCATTTACAAGAGGGACCCAGACAAGCAGTACGGGCTGAAGATGAAGACATCCAGGAGTTTCTTCAGTGAGGTGGAGAGACGCTTCGATGCCATGCCCTTCACTCTCAGGTAACACAGACACACATCATCCTTTTAGTCAGAACAGGTTAAATGAGAAATTGGGGACAAATGAGGTTGTGTTGACTAACACAATTGAAGTGAATTGATAACACAATTGAAATGAATTGATTTAAGACATTGACCACAACCTGTCGCTGTCATTTAACCAAACTGCTTACATTCAATTTGATTTAGGCTATTGGTTTCCTCCAACTGATTCCATTTTTGTAATCGAATGTTTGTTTTTCTCTCTCGCCCTCCTCTATCCCTCTTTGATATTCCTCTTTTTTCCTCCCTCTCTCTCAGGGCGTTTGAGGATGAGGGTAAGGCTAGGTTAGGTGTGGTGGAGTGTGCCAAACATGAACTGCTGCAGCCCTTCAACGTTCTGCACGAGAAAGAAGGCAAGTTAAAATAAATAACCAGCCGGAGACTATGAATTAACTTTTTGTGAAAATGTGTCAAGTAATCCCATGATGGATCGCTAAAGGTATATTGCAAACGAAATGTCATTCTTTGTAATCCATTCATTCAAAGCAGTGTACCGCTTAAACACTACAGTACAAAATAGTTCCATAGGGTGATATGACCTTGACCATTTTTACTGACTCCTTTCATCTGTCTGTGTGTCTAGGTGAGTTTGTGGCCCAGTTCAAGTTCACCGTGTTGCTGATGGCCAACGGACCCCTACGTATCACCACAGAGCTGTATGAGCCGGAGCTGTACAAGTCTGAACACGAGGTAGAGGACGCAGATCTCAAGGTAAACCAACCAACTGTGGTAGACCGATGGGCTACTGCTCTGGGGAGCTACACTGGGGCTTCACGAAAACAGTATGGTTTTTAGCAGCTTTTTGCCAGCGTGAGCAGAGCACGGGCCACTTTATCAAGTGTTCTTGGGCGTGAGTTGCGTGTCGTATTCTTGAAAATAGAACCAGAGCGTAATTTTACGCTGGGCAACGTGAGCCTCTTGCTTACGCTCAGGTTTCATGGAAGTGAGTGGGAGCTTCTCATGCTTGGCAGAAGTTGTGCGTCCAGTGTAGCGTGACTTCTATATCCTTTTCCTGTTTATACCCTGGAGGGAGGGATGAGGCTAATTAAACTAATGTGGCATTTTGTTAGCTGACTTGGTATTTTCAGAGTCATGGTGTACTAAGCTGAGATTGTTGATTTTTGTTTTCTCAAAAACCTACCCCTTTTTTTTTTTAGGCCTTACTCCAAAGCTCAGCGAGCCGCAAGACACAGAAGAAAAAGAAAAAGAAGGTAGGATACGCGTACTGTGAAGTATTCAGACCCCTTTACTTTTTCCACATTTTGTTAAGTTACAGCCTTATTCTAAAATGGATTACATTGAAGAAAATAACCAATCTACACACAATACTCCATAATGACAAAGCAAAAAGAGGTTTGCAAATTTATTACAAATAAAAAAAACTGAAATATCACATTTACATAAGTATTCAGACCCTTTACTCAGTACTTTGTTGAAGCACATTTGGCAGCGATTACAGCATCGAGTCTTCTTTGGTATGACGCTACAAGCTTGGCACACCTGTATTTGGGGAGTTAAGCCCATTCTTCTCTGCAGATCCTCTTAAGCTCTGTCAGGTTGGATGGGGAGCGTTGCTGCACTGCTATTTTCAGGTCTCTCCAGAGATGTTAGATCGGTTTCAAGTCCGGACTCTGGCTGTGCCACTCAAGGACATTCAGAGACTTGTCCGGAAGCCACTCCTGTGTTGTCTTCGTTGTGTGCTTAAGGTCGTTGTCCTGTTGGAAGGTGAACCTTCGCCCCAGTCTGAGGTCCTGAGCGGGTTTTCATCAAGGATCTCTTTTCTTTGCTCCGTTCATCTTTGCCTCGATCCTGACTAGCCTTTTGGCAAACTCCAAGCAGGTGGTCATGTGCTTTTTACTGAGGAGTGGCTTCTGTCTGGCCACTCCAACATAAAGGCCTGATTGGTGGAGTGCTGCAGAGATGGTTGTCCTTCTGGAAGGTTCTCCCATCTCCACAGAGGAACTCTGGAGCTCTGTCAGCGTGACCATCGGGTTCTTGGTCACCTTCCTGACCAAGGCCCTTCTCCCACGATTGCTCAGTTTGGCCAGGCGGCCAGCTCAAGGAAGAGCCTTGGGGTTCCAAACTTCTTCCATTTAAGAATGATGGAGGCCACTGTGTTCTTGGGGACCTTCAATGCTGTAGAAATGTTTTGGTACCCTTCCCCAGATTGGTGCCTTGACACAATCCTGTCTCGGAGCTCTACGGCCAATTCCTTCAACCTCATGGCTTGGTTTTTGCTCTGACATGCACTGTCAACTGTGGGACCTTATATAGACAGGTGTGTGCCTTTCCAAATCATGTCCAATCAATTGAATTTACCACAGGTGGACTCCAAGTTGTAAAAACATCTAAAGGATGATCAATGGAAACAGGATGCACCTGAGCTCAATTTCGAGTCTCTTAGCAAAGGGTCTGAATACCAATGTAAATAAGGTATTTCTTTTTTAAAACATCTGCAAAAATTCTGAAGAACAGTTTTCGCTTTGTCATTATGGGGTATTGTGTGTAGATTGCTGAGGATTTTTATTTATTTAATCCATTTTAGAATAAGGCTGTAACATTCAAGGGGTCTGAATACTTTCCGGAGGCACTGTAAATACATCCAGGTCTCCCTTGGGAAAGAGGTCTTCTGAACGTAATGGGACTTCCTGCTTGAAAAAAAATACACGTTAATGTGACGTAACTACATTTTATAAGAGTTTTGCCTCAATCTCCAATCAACTCCTTCCCTTTGTCAAAAGGCTTCAAAGACAGTGGAAACTGAAACAGCACCAGGACATCCAGCGCCGGTGAAGGTTGAGGAGACCGAAGCTGCGGAATAAAACCTTCCAACCCCCCCCCCCCCCCCCCCCCCCCCCCAAACCCTGTCTTCGTCTCCAAGAATACTGACAGACAACTGACCAACCCAAAGAACAGAACAGACATCAATTATCCCTCCATCCTACCCTCCTATCCTGACACGCCCGCCTTGTGGTGTGGCCTAGCCTTCTGTGATGAATACCTCCAAATGTAAACGATGTCAGACTGTACCGGGTGATGGTGCTGCTCACTCCTAAATTCAAATTCCTGTCACATCCCTTTTCAATATCAATGTCCTTGAGACAGCAGGGTTCTCCCCAGAATAGTAAGCATGTTCGGTGCGATGACACTCAAAGAGAGGGATATTGAGTTGAACACAGGCATTTTCCTGAGTAGATTCTGTGGGAGACACGTTTATACCATCCAGTCATTGAGCCTTGAACTGTAATTATATAATGATGTATGAAGGCAAAGCATGACAGTGGAGGGTATGATGTGACGGCACTGCATTGTGCCAATGATAATTGTGTGAAGGAAAACCTTGTTTGAGGTCATAAGCAAGAAGTCATGTCTCTGAAATGGATGTCAGTGTGTCCTATTAGAGAATTAAAAGGGGAGTAACTTGAACCCTCCATAAAGCCGACTTAACGCTGTTATAAACCGTCATGACTGCAAATGTTAACTGAGTACATTGTCACACACCTGTTATTTAAAGTGGATAAGTCAATTTCCTAGGGGCATACCTAGCTATCTTACCTACAGTAACAGTTTGTGACATAACTGTCAAGTCCGTTGCCGTGGACGTATTTTAAATGGATTTTTTAGAACGGAGTCGGATAAGGGGCTTGCTCTCACTGCACACACAGACATTTGTCACTCTTATGCCCAATAATGGAGGGTTCAGGTGTTCCTATTAAATGATTTGTTCTGTGTAGGACGCCATAATTCATTTCATACTTCACTAGTACTGCCACATCTCAATGAATTCCACCTATATTAATCAGTGTTTACATCAGTTTCCATAGCTGTTTAATACCTGATCCTTTCTATTGTAAAATAAATAATCCCAGTTTCAGAGGCTATTTTTAGAATTATCTAGATTAGAACCACTACAACGCCGGCATCAAATAGCAACTCCATGATATTGAATTTGGGTGGGGCAACTGACCAAAGGACTAACTAACAAACTGCTGCACCACTAGTTTTTGTGGGGGTTTTCATTCTGAATAGGATATTCGAGGGATCCATCTTTGTGGAAATGTTTCTTACTAGGTTGATGACTTTCTAAAATTGTTCTCATGAAAGAAATGAATCTACTCTTGTATTGTAAATGTGTGTGGATGTAATTTTTCAAAAGTCCTTATTTGGGAAGTAAAAGTGGAACTCCTCGCAATAAAATTAGGCATTTAGGAAGGCTTTTGAAATTGTAATGTCAGAATTACAACCCATCTCAGTGTAACTATTTTACATATTTGACTGAAAAGTAAATGTCTCATTAATTCTGTGAATAAGATCCCTTGATCATTCCACTATAATCAGATAAGCCTTTTGAAATATGGCTATTCCTTGATAAACTAATTTGACAGTTGACAATTATGACTGCTGACTGCTGACCCCTGCACTGGATGTGGAAACCATACATGCCTCAATCAGTAAAACAGAGGTATTGTCAATTTAAAAGAATGTAACATCATTCTTTTTTGGGGTTTAGGAAGAGGGAGTTTGCTTTTCTTCATGGTTTGAAATAAACTTTATTAAAACAAAATATGTGGATGTGTTTGTTTGTCTCAATATTGTCTTATGGACCTCCCCCATCTAAAATACTGTACATGTAATTACATGGCTTTCTACACAGCATAACATAATATACCTCCACACTAAACAGTAAAACAGACATTTTGTAATTTTATACAAAAATAATGTAGATTGACGATTGATCCAAGTCTTAGGACAATTCAGAGCCACATTATTGATGAAAGCTGCATCACAGATTGAAGCAGGATACAGGGGTTAGTTATAAAAAAAATAGTTGAAAAAGCTTTGGCTGCATTTCCCAGAGTTCATGAGCGTCCAACAATGATGACGTAATCGCAGTGTATAAATAACCAATCGAAAGCTCGTCACGTTCTTCTTGGAGACGGTGCCATCTTGCAGAGGTACGCAGAAAAGCCCACTCAATAGTTTTCTAATGTCAAATACGAATCCAAAATAATCCTTTCTAACTAAAAGCCATCCGACTAATCAACCTTTCTCTTCACATTTCTTAGACACCCCTCCACAACATGAGGGCCAAGGTGAGTCATTTCCCCTCTAAACGATTGATTTGTAATCTGCTTGTTGCAAGCTAACAAACGTGTTATCTAGCTTAGCCGACTAACTAGTTGTAACACAATAAAAAATTGCTCACAATTAAGGCAAATTTAAATATCGTCCATTTAATGATTAGCCATGGCTTTCTGAGCCAAATTGTTGCGACTTCATTAGCTAGCTTTGTTAGTTAGCTGGCGTTAGGCGTCTTGACTACATGAACACACTTGCTAGCTTTGTAGCTGTAGCCCCAATTTAGCCAATGTGGTTAGCATCCTAACTAACGTTAGCTGACAAACTATATAAATGTATCACATTAATATTAAACTGTTATGACGTTGAGGAATTTAGCGTTGTAGGCAGTATCATCCAGAGCCATGTATTATAAATGCGTGGCTCGTATCGCCAAGCATTGTGCAATACTTCCATGTCAGACAGGCCCTTTCAGTCTGGGTGGGTGTGCATGACTGCGATGTCCCCTCTACACTAGTGCGCATTTTGACCATGCTCAGTTTCAGTTTCCTATACTGAATTGATAGCAGTTTGCTGTGTATGACTATTGGGTGTCACCAACCATGTTTCTGAATTTACCAGGGTACAGGGGTTTGTTTCAGTACCTAAGTTTGTCAATATCTGAAAGTAGCTCATGTATTTCCATCTCTAACATTGTCCCCTTTGTTCTCTTTCAGTGGAGAAAGAAGCGTATGCGCAGGCTGAAGCGCAAGAGGCGAAAGATGAGGCAGAGGTCAAAATAGACTGCCCCCTTACAAAACCATGTCTGACCTTACGGACAACACGGGACCAAGGATCTCCCAAGTGCTCAAGTCTGAAACACGACACAGGCCAACGAGAGGCTACAGAGACGGTGCTACTGTTGGTCAACCACCTGCCTGGGAGACTTGATTATGGGGACATTCTGCATCCTTTACTCTTCTACAAAACCATCCCTACTCCATTGCTTTTGTTTATATTTTCCAATAAAGTTTTTGGTTTAAATAAATTGACTCAATATTGATTTGACATCAAACTGGTCTAAAAATGTTAAGATACCATGATGCAACTTTTTTTATTATGCCATATGTTCAGTTGCAGAGAATGTAATGTCAAAGATTCTTAATGGTATCCTACGAAGCAGGTTCTAGTCAACTTTGAACTAGGGATAACCAGTCATAAAGAAGTGGCTCACCTTTTAGCCTGGTACATTTAGGGCAATGAATCCTTTAGAACAAACCTGCTCCAGGTGTAACGAACCAGACTCGATGATTGAGCTGTGAGTGGCGGCCTAATGAAAACTAATTACCCTCTCTTGCAAAGACTCATCCTCTTCATTGGGGAGTGATTTAAATATGTTAATGTTGTCACATTACACTAATGACAGAATGCATAGTGAACTTCAACACTAACTTAGAAATGAATATGGGGGGGTGCTTGTGCATAACAGTACGTTTTGACCAGATGTGGAGGTCCTGGGCTGCGGTTGTGAGGCCGGTTGGATGTACTGCCAAATTCTCTAAAATGAACATTAAATTATCTGGCAACAGCGCTGGTGGACATTCCTGCAGTGAGTATGCTAATTGAGACATCTTGGTGGGTGTGCACATTTTAGAGCAGCATTGTATTGTCCCCAGCACAAGGTGCACCTGTGTAATGATCATGCTGTTTAATCAGCTTCTTCATATGCCACACCTGTCAGGTGGATGGACTATCTTGATAAAGGATCAGATGTAAACATTTGTGCACAACATTTGTGAGAAATAAGCTTTTTGTGCATATGGAACATTTCTGGGATCTTTTATCTCAGCTCATGAAACATGGGACCAACACTTTACATGTTGCGCTCTCCAGTTCTAGTCCCTAGAGAGAAACTCTGAAGAAAGAGATAATAGTCAGGGCTGTCTAATTGTAATAAAATAAATCCTGTTTCTTTTGATGTCTGTCCTCAGATATGGAGAGCTGTGAAAGCCTGTCTGCTGATGAAGAGGTCCCAGTGAATATCCCAAGAGACTGCTGGCACATCCTTGTTTGCCATGGGTTCTATGTGTACTTATGTTAGCAAATGTTGTATACAAGAATACAGTTAAAAGTCACACAGAAATTATAGGCTATAAACGTATTACAACTGTAGCAGGCCAGTCCTTCTCCTGGAGGTATGCTGGTATGCAGGCTTTTGTTCCATCCCAGCACTAACACACCTGATTCAATTTATCAAACCTAATGAGTTGATAATAATGTGAATTATTGCTGGGCTGGAATATAAGTCTACTCACCAAGTAGATCAGGGAGTGTAGCAAGGTTGGCCACCTCGGGTATGGACTTTTGTTCGCCTGAAATTATGCTTTAGTAATTACAGCCTACTTACTAAGATGTCTAACATTTACAAACAAGTTAGATTATTTGACCATTTTGAAATGATATGTTGATTCATTGAAGTGTTTAAACTTGTTTTATTTGTTAACTTAAAAACATTATTCAAGATGAACTAGTGTCAATGTTAATTAATCACAGATCACAATTCTGTAATAAAAAGGTGTGAAGAGGATCTGTCTCTAATTTGTCTGTGTTTCTGTGTTGCTGTAATAAAAAGGTGTGAAGAGGATCTGTCTCTAATTTGTCTGTGTTTCTGTGTTGCTTTCTCAAATGAACATTACCTTTTTGTCTAGTTGTGAGCACTTCAATCTGTTTTAATTGTCTCTGTCTCAGGATATCAGCCGAAGTGTACGCATTTTGCAGTTTATCATAATGGAATGCATCACCACTGCAGCCATAGGCCTACAGTGTGATGGCATTACTGGCCTAATGGACATCATTTGCATATTGTTGAGCTAGCTATATGTTCTCAATTTAAAATTATACCAGTAGATAATGTATATGAGGGTAACCATAAACCAGATTTTCTACATGATTTTCTGACTTGAAATTGTTTAGTGCAAATCCAACCTTTGTATTCTAGGTACAGTACTGTACATGAAAATAAGGTGCTGGCAATTTGTTGGCTAATTAAAAATGTCAAAAAGGAAAATAATGGGGCGTTGGGAGCGTTGTAATTCTTCCTCGTTTATTTGCTGAGAATTATTTTAGAATACAGAGACAAAATCAGAAGGTCAATGGCATGGAGGAGGATTGCAAAGATGTTGGTTTTGATGGTGGGTGAAGAGAGATTTACACAAAAAAGTCAAAGTAACAATTTCCTTTACCAAAGTACCCATTCATGTGCATTTTACATGTAGGCCTATGTATTTTATAGGAAGTGAGCTATAATCATAAATCTCATGACACAGGTATAATGAAAGAGCCATAAACTATAATATATGAGAATCATAAAATGAAGATACCATAATCCAATTGGTAGCATACAGTGCATTCAGAAAGTATTCAGACCCCTTGACTTTTTCCACATTTTTTTACGTTACAGCTTTATTCTAAAATTGATTAAATACAATGTTTTCCTCATCAATCTACAAACAATATCCCATAATGCAAAGCAAAAACAGGTTTTTATAAATGTAATACCTTATTTACATAAGTATAAAAACCCTTTGCTTTGAGAATCAATTTTAGAATAAGGCTGTAACATAACAAAATGTGGAAAAAGTCAAGGGGTCTGAAGACTTTCCGAATGCACTGTAAATTCATAGCTAGTTAGCAGCACAAGCAAACGTGCAAATCTCTCTTCACCCACCATCAACACCAATAATCTCTGCGATCCTCCTCCATGCCATTGACCATATGATTTTGTCTCTGTATTCTAGCAAATCCACATCATATAGAATTGGAATACCAGACCCTGTAATGATTGGCTTTCCTCCATCTTTTTTGGTTGTTCTTGACTGGAGCTAATGAGAACTATGTTTAATGAACAAAAGATTTTCAAGCAAACATCTGCTCCTCACCTGATTGGTTAACGGAAGCCGTGTCCTTGTGCAATTTGCATAAAGTAGAGCATAGTTTAACTTTTTCTATCGCTCAGCTAGCAGAGTTCGCGCAGCTCACATTCCCACAATCCCCTGCGCATTACTCTGCATGCTCCCGCTAAAAATGAATGGGGGCGGAACTTCGTCTGACGATTTCGGAGGTGGTGGAATTGAAACCCTAGTATGTAAGAAGCCTGCCTGTGAGCTAGAATGTGAAGCTAACTGAAGCTGGTTAGCTTTAGAAAACCCTGAGTAGATCTAGCTTGTTCAGTAGGATATCACTCTGGTTATGTGGAGATGTGATCCCTCTATACCAGTCTCTTCAATGAACTAACATGTTTCTAGTCATGACTAACATTTACTATCTGGGGTAGGGTTGTTATGACCATTGAGCTATAAAATGGTTATGACTGCTGCAGGGCCGGCGTTATGGGCGGGCCCTAGGGTACCTGACCCGCCCTACCGTACCTCCTTTCCCGTCCAAATAAAATATTGATCATTTATTTGAACGAGACGCGCGCCGACAGAAAGATGCATCAATCTGAGCAA